CGAGACCCTCTATCAAAGAACACCCAAATAAATAAATAAATAAATTTAATTTAAAAAAGATAAGACTATAAGCTGAGTGGTGGGGAATCTGTGGGGTAGTGAGGGAGATCTGTGTGGTGAGTGACAGGGTACTGAAGAGTGAGTGGCAGGATACTGTAGGGTTGATAATGAGGCCTATGGGGCAAGTGATAGGGTCTGTAGGGTAAGGAAAGATCGTCCTTGGGTGACTGATGAGGTGATGGGGTGAATGACAAGAGGCGTGTAGGGTAAATGATAAGGCTCTGTAGGGATTATGCTAGCCTGTAAGGTGAGGCGGGGCTTTGTGATGTGAGCAATGGGGCATCTGAGGTGTTAGTGATAGGCTCTCTTCGAGGGAAGGAGGGATCAGGAGCCAGTGAGCTGAGTGATGCAGGGTGGGCTGCTGAAGTGAATGGTGTGCAGCCTGTGGAGTGGGTGAGGTGACTGTGTTGGGTTAATGATGGCCTGTGGGGTGAGCAAAGGGGGTTGTGCAGGATGAATAATGGGGGCCTACATGGTGGTGGTGGGGATCTGTGAGGTGAATAAAAGGGGTGCATGATGGGGGCCTGAGGGGGAGTGACAAGTCTGTAGGTTGAGATGGAAGTTCTGTGAAGTGAATATTGGGGAGTGGGGTGAGCACAGAGGATGTGATGGACTGAATTATATCCCTGAAAAGTTCACATTGAAGCTCTAACTGCTCATACTGCGGAGTGACTGTATTTGGGTATAGGGCCTTTAAAGAGGTGATTAAATTAAAAAGAGGCAGGTAGGGTGGGGCCTAATCCAATCTGATTCCCTATACAAAGATTAGAACAAATAAAATAAAATAAAATTTTTTGTTTTTTTGAGACAGAGTCTTGCTATGTAGTTCAGACTGGTCTTGAACTCACTATGTAGCCCAGGCTGGCCTCAAACTCATGTCAATCCTCCTGCCTCAGCCTCTCGAGTGCTGGGATTACAGGTGTGCACCACCATGCCCAGCAATAAAATAAAATTTAAAAAAGAAATTAGGCCAGATATGGGCATGAACACAGCAAGAAAGTGACCATCTGTAACCAAGGAGAGGTCTCATCAGAAATCAAACCTGCTGACACTGTGAACCTGAACTTTCAGTTTCTGTTTTTTTTTTTTTTTTTTTTTTTTTTTTTTTTTTTTTGGTACCGGGGATTGAACTCGGGACTTTGCGCTTGTGAGGCAGGCAGCGGAACTACTGAGCTAAATCCCTGACCCTGAACTTTCAGTTTCTGGAACTGTGAAAAAATACATTTCTGGGTTTGTTGTTGTTGTTGTTGTTTTATAGGGAATGGGAAAGTGGAGGTTACCAGAGACTTCTGCAGTGGGTCCTGGTCTCCTGAGTCAGTATGACTTCCAAGAGATAGGAAAGAGGGAAATAAAGACACAGAGACTTGAGAGAAACTGAGTCTAGGGCTGATCTAAGCTGCTCTGGGCAGCAAAGACAAAGGACTCTCAGGACATCCAGTGTTTATTCATTATAAGTATGGGAAGGGGGGAAAGCTGGGCAGGCCTTGGGACACCTGCTAATAACAAGTATCAAGCAGGCAGGACTGTAGAATGAGGGCACAAGCATATCTTTGCTGAAGAGAACAAACGGTTAATTAAGAGGGGAAGAATTTAGTTGGAGTCAGTTGACCTTGACTGGAAGTGAACTCAGGGAAGCTCTAAGCTCTGCTACTTCCAATGTAACACAGCCAAATTATGGAGGGGCAAGAAGCTTGTGCCACTATAGCCTGCTAATACTGGGCAGAGGTGTCTGCTACAGTTTTTGAGACAGGGTCTTGCTATGTAGTTCAGGCTGGCCTTGAACTATGTACCACAGGTAGGCCTCAAACTTGTGCCAATCCTCCTGCTTTAGCCTTCCAAGTGCTGGGATTACAGACATGTGCCACCATGCCTGGCTCTAAATTTCAGTTTAAGCTACCCGGTCTGTGGCACTTTGTTATGGCAATCCTAGCAAACTAATACAGATTTTGGTACCAGGCTGCTACTGAAACAAATATATAAAAATGCAAAAGTAGCTTGGAAACAGGGTAATGTGCAGAAGCTGGAAGAGTTGAAGGACATATTAGAAAAAGCATAGATTATGGGATGGGGGTATAGCTCAGTGGCAGAGTGCTTGCTTAGTGCACATGAGGACTTGGGTTCCATCTTTAGCACCAAAAAAGAAAGAAAAGGGAAGGGAAGAGGAGGGGAGGGGAGGGGAGGCAAGGGAAGAGAGCCTAGGTTGTAGCTATGGTCCGAATGTATGGTCTGAATCCCTCCAAAATTCCTTTGTTAAAACCTAATCCCAGGGTTGTGGATGTAGCTCAGCAGCACAGAGCCTGCCTGGCAAGCACAAGGCCCTGAGTTCAATTTCCAGTACCAAAAAACAAACAAACAGCAGGGGATTTAGCTCAGTGGTTCCGCTGCCTGCCTCGAAAGCACAAGGTCCCCGAGTTCGATTCCCCGGTACCAAAAAACAAACAAACAACTAATCGTAGTGTGATAGTATTAGGTGGGCCATGAGAGCATGAAGGTGGCACCCCCACAAATAAGATTGATGCCCTTATAAAAGGATGAAGGGGCTAGAGTTCTGCAGCTGTGAGGATACAGCAAGAAGGTACCATCTATGAAGAAGTGGGCCCTCAACAGACACCAAATCTCCTGGGCATGGTGGTGCATGCCTGTAATCCCAGCACTTGAGAGGCTGAGACCGGAGGATCATGAGTTCAAAACCAGCCTAAGCTACATAGTGAGACTCTATCTCAGAAAAAAAAATTAAACAAAAAACAGCCGGGCGTGGTGGAGTACCCCTGTAATCCCAGCACTTGCGAGGTGAGGCAGGAGGATTGCTGTGAGTTTGAGGCTAGCCTGAAACACAGCGAGACCCTGTCTCAAAACAAAAACAAAAATCCCAAAAACAAAAAAACCAAAGCAAACAAAAAACAGATACCAAATCTCCCAGTGCCAATCACTAGAACTGTGATAAATTTGTTTATAACCCACCCTATTTGTACTATCTTATTACTAGTAACTTGAAAAACTAAGACAATTGCCTTGAAAAGACAACGGAGACAAACTTTTGTACATAGGGAGGGGAGTTGGCTTGAGGGGGGAATGGGATAAAATAAAATTTAATAATAATAAAGAAAAGAATAAAAAGACTGTTGGTAGAAATATGGATGTTAAAGGGCCTTCTGGTGAGGCCTCGGATGGAAATGAGGAACATGTTATTAGAAACTGGAAGGAAGGCAAAACACTTGGCTGAATTTATTCTAGTGTTCTGAGTGATGAACTTGGGTATTTAGCGGAGATGATTTCTAGGCAAGGTGTTGAAGATGTAGACTTCTCCTTGATGCTTAGAGAAAAATGCAAGAGGGGAAAGATTGGTTGAAAAAGGAAGTGTTAAAAAAAAAAGAAAAAGGAAGTGTTAAGCAAAAAGGAACAAGAATGTGAAGATTCAGAAAATCATCAAGCTACTTAGTATTGCAAAAACTGTTCTGGCGAGAAAGTCTAGGGTGTGGCCAGACAGTCATTCCTTAGAGACTGTGGGTGCACCTCCCTCATCTAATCAGCTATTTTAGCAGATGCCAGGTGTGGAGGGGAACCGGCCTGCTGGCCAGCTAGGACAAAGGAGAAGAGATAGCACAAAATGAGAGGGCTATGGGGTGTTTGTAATCATACAGGTCAGAACCAGAGTTCACTGACTGCAGGAGCACAGTATTATCTTTCCAGATAAAGGCAAAGTGATCCCAATGGCAGGGCTGTCTCCAGCTTGGCTCTGGAGGGTTTCAGTGGGTCAGGCTGCCTCCTGAGGCTGAGAGCCATGCTGCTGCCCCAGTGGGCTCAGAAGTGGGGCCTGCACCCTAATGGGCCCAGAGAAGAGCATCCAGCCGAAGAGGATGACTCTCAAGCCTTCCAATCAAACAGAATTTGCCTTATTAGATTTGGGACTTACTTGGGACCTGTGATCCCTTTTTCACTGCGATCTCTCTTTTGTGGAATGGGAATATCTTTTTAAAAATTCCATTTTATTAGTGCATGTTTAGATTACATGATAACGTTTATTTGGGGAAGTTGGATCAAGCTTTTAACTATCTTAATGGACTTCAATTCCCTTGCCTCCAGGGACTATCCATCTTAGGTCTCTTGTACCACTGTATTTTGCAAACAGAAAACTGTTCTGGTTTCACAAGTTCATAGCTACAAAGGAATTTTTGCCTCGGGATGACTCATACCTCCTTTCAGCCACACTTTAGATGATATTTAGATGAGACTTGAGATTTAAAGTTAATATGGGGTTTAGGGTAGGGGTCAGTGGTAGAGTGCTTGCCTAGTATATGTAAGGTCTTGGATTCAGCCCTCCTCCCTGCCCCCAGCACCACAAAAATATGCCTAAATGGGAGAATTTTGAGCTGTCAAGATGGAGGTGAATGTAATTTGCATTCGGGAAGGTCATGAATTTGCGGAGGCCCAGAGCAGAATTTATATGTTGAAGCCTTAATCCCCAGTAATTTAGAATGTAACTATATTTGGAGGCCAGGGCCCTAATCCAATCTGATTGATGTTCTCAGAGGCAATCTGTACACCCATAGAGAAGCCAGGGGCCTGAGGGCACAGAGAAAAAAAAACAAGTGAAAACAGAAATCAGCCACTTACAGGCCAAGGAGAGAGGCTTCAGAAGAAACCTAAGCTGTTGATGTCGTGACTAGCTCCAGAATTGAGAATATTAATTTCTGTCGTTTTAGCCACCCCCTGGCTGGCATTTTGTTGTGGCAGCCTGAGAGGTGTTGAAGATGGAGTCCCTGCGGTGGGTGATGGGGTGTGTAGGGTGAATGATGTGTGTGGGGACAGGCTGAGGTTCATGAAGTCAGAGATAGCAGGTGTATGTGGCGATGGAAGTCTGTGAATGACTGAGTGATGGAAGGACCTGTGGGGTTAGCCACAGAGCATCCCTGGGATTAGTAAATGAAGATCTCTCAATGTTAGAGTTAAGATCTTTTATTTCCTGATTTTAAAAACTGCCACCATCACAGACCTCCTGCCTTCTCTTATATCTTTTTCCCAGTGGCTCCTAGCAGTAGCTCCACATAGCCCCTCTTTCCAGTCTCTGGCCCTTTGTGTGCTCACCATCAGCCTGAGTGCCCCTCCACCTTGTGGAGCAGGACTGGACTCTCCCGGCAGATGGGAGCATCTCTCGGCCTCTCTTCTGGTCCAGTCCTCCATTCATTAGTTCTGTTTGTTCTTGGCTTTCATCATCTTGGTGTCCAGTGCGCTCTGGGCCCCAGAGAGCTGCTTCATGGAATCAAAAATGAGGATTCCAGGTATCACCAGCCACAGGGCATTCATGAAGAAGAAATAAAACCAGAAATAGATGGGGTGGCCCGGCTCCCCGTGTTGGAATCCATCACGGTACTCTGTGAGGAAGTAGAGAGCATCCCCATAGAACTGGCCTGTGAGAGGCAGAAAGGGGAAAAGCCCAAGTGAGGAGGAGGTGGCTAACCCAGATTCCCTACTGTGAGGCATTTCCCAGTCATCCATCAAGATCTCTGAGCTCAGGATCCCATAATCAGAGAGCCAAGAATTCTGAACTCACACAGCTGAAAATCTGAGAAATCAGGAAAGTAAGAATTTCAGAAAGCACAGCACTGACAATTTCTGAACTCAGGAGCGCTCATAGCTCCAGAATTTTGTTTTTGGTTTTTTTGAAACAAGGTCTTTCTATGTAGCCCAGGCTGGCCTCAAACTCATGGTTATCCTCCTGCCTTAGCCTCCTGAGTGCTGGGATTACAGGTGTGCGCCACCACACCCAGCAAGAATTCATGGCTGTTCTGGGACTTCCCAGGCTTTGTCATTCTGGTGCACCCTTGGATGGACACCACCATGGAGACGCACCCCCCTCAGGGGAGCACCAGCCCCTTTAGTGCCAGCACAGGCCCTCTCCTCACCCAAAGAGATCACGAGCTGTAGGATATAGCGGATGCGTTGCTGGCGGAGAAAGGCAATCACCGCCCATAGGCTCAGTGGTCCCCACAGGCAAGCTGTGATGCTCTCCATACAGATGGTGAAGTTGTCACTGCTGTGGAAGGATGGGGGAAGGAACACTGGTGTCAGTGTGCTTTGCCCATACCGCACCCCATTAGCACACCCCAACTCACCACTTCTCCAGACCAGCACAGGCCACACTTACATGATGTATCGACTGTCTCCCTTAGCGTACTCTTTCCCTGAAGAGAACAGATATGAAGAATAAAGGTGGGAAAAAGGGCTGGGGATGTAGCCAAAGAGTGAGGGGCTTGGGTTTAATTCCCAGTAATGCAAAAAATAAAAAAGAGACAGCAGACTTGAATAAGTTCTTCACACACACACAAAAAAGGATTGCCAAATGGCCAATTAAGGTAGGGAAAGTGTGCAAACTTTCAATAATCAGTAAGAAAAAAGCAAATTAAAGCCATAAGGGAGTTATCACTCACATCCACTAGAATGACTAAAGTTTAGGAAACACCTGACCACACCAAGCATTGGTGAGAATGCAGAGGAACTAGAACTCTCCTATTCTGCTGGTGGGGATAGAATATAGAGAACCTTTTTTTTTTTGGTATTGGGGATTGAACTCAAGACCTTGTGCTTTCCAGGCAGGCAGAGGGCCAATGAGCTAAATCCCAGGCCCCTGGAGAAACCATTTTTGAAAACAGTTTGGTAGGTTTTTGTGTGTGTGTATGGTGCTGGAACCAAAACCCAGAGCCTCACTCAATGCTAGGCAAGCACTCTACCGAGCTACACCCCAGCCCCTGGTATTATTTTTTGGTACTGGGGATCCAATTTAGGACCTTGTGCTTGCAAAGCAGGCGGCAGTGAGCTAAATCCCCGGCCCTGGTAATTTTTCATAAAGTTATATATGTACCTACCATAAGACCTGGCTATTCTTTTTCTATATATTTATCCAAGAGACATGAAAGCAAAGATCAACACAAAGACATGTATTAGAATGTTCATAGCAGCTTTATTCATGAAGCTGAAAGAGAGTATTGTCAACACAGAAGAAGACTGCCCTTTAGTATTGCACAAGTCAAGGAATTTATAGCACCTATGCTTTGCAAGCTCTTTATGAAATGAGGAATGACCTCATGTAAAAATTAAAAATTCAGAAATATATAGCATGTTAGTATTTATGTAAAAAGGAAAAAATAATGAAATGGTGATAAAAAATTACATGGCATGCCAAGCATGGTGATGCACACCTGTAATTCCCAGCACCTGGAAGGCTGAGGCAGGAGGATTGCCATGAGTTTGAGGCCAGCCTGAACCACATAGCAAGACCCTGTCTCAAAAACAAAACAAAACAAAACAAAAATAATTACATGGCATCTGCGGCTTGCCTCTGTTTTAAGTACCTTGCATATATTTGAACATTTACTATGATCTGCCCCCTTTTATCTGTGGTGTCAGGGATGGAACCCAGGGCCTCACATGCTAGGCAAGTGCTATACCACAAAGCTAAATCCCCTGCCCTTTTAATTTTTATTACTTTTACTATTTATTTAGTGGTACTGGGGATTGAACCCAGGGCCTTTGCACTGAGCTAGCTACATCTTTAACCCTTTTTTTTTTTAATTTTTGGGACAGAGGCTCATTAGACTTCCTAGGCTGCCTTTGAATTTGAGGTCTTCCCACATCAGCCAAGTAGCGGGGATTGCAGTAAATGCTACTCTGCCTAGCTCTACTATTGTCCTTTTAAAACTGAGCAGACTGCCGGGCTGGTGTGCATCTATAGTCCCAGCACTAGGGAGGCTGAGGCCAAGGGTCACTGACAGTATGAGGGCAGTCTGGGCTACATAGTGAGTTCAAGGCCAGCATGGGCTACAGAGCAAGACCCTGTCTCAAAGCAAACAGACAAAATAAAATTGAGCAAGCTGAAGTTTCTGTGTGTAATTTATGTGCAAATAAACTTGGAAGGAAACAAACAATTGTTGTTGTTTTTGTGGGGGTACCGGGGATCAAACTCAGGACCTTGCGCTTTCGAGGCAGGCAGCAGAACCATGGAGCTAAATTCCCAGCCCAACAAACAATTGTTTTGTTGGTGCTGGGATTGAATCTAGGACCTCAGGCATGCTAAGCACACATTGTACCACTGAGCTACATTCCCAGCCATAGAAACAAATACCTTTTTTAATTTTTATATTTTGACACAGGATCTCACTAAGTCTCTAAATTACTCAGGCTGGGTTTGAATTTGTGATCTTCTTGCCTCAGTCTCCTAGAGTGCTGGGAATACAGGAGTGCACTACCATGCCCAGTTTTGAAACAGAATTAACAGTTGTTAGTAGTTTTGGGGGCAACTTGGTAGATACAAGGCAGATTTTAACACATATATCTTTAAATTTTTTGAGACAGGGTCTCACTACACAGTTCAGTCTGGCCTTGAACTCACAGTGATCCTCCTGTCTCTGCCTCCCAAGTGCTGAGATTATAGACTTGGGCCACCACACCTGGCTTAAATGTTTTTTCCACCCATGTGAATATATATGCAAAAGGCTACATAAAATGTTAAAAGAGATGAATGGAGGAATTGATGGGTGAGTAAAATCCAAGCCAACCTGTGCCCTGAACCCCCCACCACCACCCAGCACAAAAACCCAAAACTCACAGAGTTGGGATAACAAGGCTTGGTCTCCAAGAATGGCCTCGTGGTAGACAGCAAACCAGCCCTCAATTACCAGGTGGATGAATGCACACATCCCAAACCAGCACAGGGACAGTCTCCGCCATGTCCCCAGTGGGACAACTGAAGCACGACTGGACAACAGCCACATGGTCACGGCTAGTACCCCAAAGACGGAGAACAGGGCAGTCACGATATACCAGGCGGGAAGGTCATTAGGCACAAAGTGGTCCAGCCTCAGGTCCCGAGGCCGGTAAGGGTGCGAGGGGACTGTGCTGGTGCTGGCCATGTCTCTATGGGCTGATGACTGCATGTGGACAGACAGGAGGAAAAAAGGAACTGAAAAACCTAGACAAACAAAAAGCAGAGTGAGATAATTGCTATGAAAAATAAAATTGAGTTTACCAGTTAACAGACTGACTATAAATAGGGTCTCACTAAATTGCTCAGGCTGGGCTTAAACTAGTAATCCTCCTGCCTCAGCCTCCCAGACTGCTGGGATTACAGGAGTGTGCTACCACTGTCCAGCTTGGATTAAAAATAATCTAATCTTGCCAGGCATGGTGGTGCATGCCTGTGTTCAGAGCACTCAGGAGGCTGAGGCAGGAGCAGGAGGCTCACTCCACATTCCAGGCCAGCCTGGGCTACAAAATGAGTTCATGGTCAGCCTAACTACATAGTGAGACCCTGTCTCATAAAACCAAAACAATAACAATTTAATCTTTTTTTTTGGGGGGGGTACCAGGGATTGAACTCAGGACCTTGTGCTTTCGAGGCAGGGGGTGGCACCACTGAGCTAAATCCCCCGCCCAACAACAATTTAATCTTTTAAAAAAATTTTTTTTTCATTTTTTAAACAATTTAATCTTAAAAAAAAGTCAATCTTTTTGCACGCTGTTAGAAACATGACTAAAATATAAGGCCACACAAAGACTGAAAGTTTGTTCCAGCCCCTCTGGTAGCTGTAATTACAGGAAACAGACCTGAGTTCAGCCCTCTCTGGTCACAATCCACCGAGGGACACACAGGAACCCAGCCTGATCCCAGTCCTCATTCGTCAGTGTGATAAGGGAGTCACTGTCACTAAACCAGGTCCCAGAACTCAGGATGGCTCAGTTTGGTGGCAAGGCACAGAAACCAGGTCTGGGACTACTGTAGAGCCCAGTGTCTTGCACAGTTCAACGAAAAACACTCGAGGCAGGACGATCGCTGCGAGTTCGTGGCCGGCCTGGACTGCATAGCAAGACTCAGTCTCGAAAACAAAACCCCGCGATCCTGCAAACCACAGTGGATCCAGCAAGAGACTAGCCTGAGCTTCAGCTCAGCGTTCGGAAAGCCAGAGCCGCTCCGCGATAGCACACAACGCCGCCGACCCATGCGAAGAGTGGGAAAAGCTGAGGTCTCGTGCGGAGCCCCGCTAGGAAAAGGAGCTCCATCAGGAACCCACAAATCAGTCAGGACCTGTCGGCTCAGGGGCCCAGCGAGAGGGCGGGTCACCCGGATAACCGCGAGGAGCCGGGGACTCTGGGAGGCAGGGTGAGAGCCAGCTGCTGAGCGGTGGAGCGCTGGGGACCGAGCTCGCGAGCGGCGGGGGACACTCACCTGAGCCGCACGACTTCAGCGGCCGTTCCCCACGGACTCCCGACGCTCTGGGCGGCTCTCGCCAGACCCTCCTCCCCGTTTAATTGGAGCTTGCCAATGGGTAGGCGGGAGGGCGTCTCCAGCCAATAAGAGCTCTTCGTGTGCCGACTGCCCCGTGGTGCCACTCTCGTGGTTGGCCGAGGTTCAGTCAGGAACAGGTTGGTGGGCGTTTTTAGCCTGTGGTCATTCTGCAGGCGTTCTGGATTTCTTCATCCCCCTAATCGATCACGGCGGGGAATAATTAAGATGTACATTGAGTTTTCTTTTGCGGCGTTGAGTTGTTCTTTCACCTCTGCTGTGGTTTTCTAGGAAACTGATCAGTTGCCAGACCAGGTCTCAGTCCTAACGTGAGGAAACTAGAACTCGAAGGGCAGATCACACGCGGCGCCCTGCAAAACCCAGGCCCCGCCCCCTGGCCCCCTAAGCCCTTCAGCGCTCAGAACTACTCAGTCCTTAGAGTTGCTGTCATTCTCGCCTCTACCGACTTAAACTCAGAAAACCCAATCAGAACCCAGGCCCCTCAGTCCGGCTGGCCAATTGGCACGGAGACACTCAACTATGCCAATTCTAAAAAGCCAACCACAACGTCATAACGCTAAACAAGTGAGCACCTAGACCCGGCACTCAGTCAAAACCCAGAGCCATCCCAGACCTTCCATCCCATTAGAACCCACAGCCCTCAGTCCCAAGGACCAATAAGCATCATTCCGCCCTCTGCCTTGCCTTCCCTCTTAACTCAGTCAGGGCAACCAAGCATGATAGGAATCCTTCAGTTTTCTGGCCAATTAGCACAAGCCCCCCGCCCCCCATGCAGCCATGCAGTCCTTCCCGCTCCAATCAAATCCATCAGGACCAGAAGCCTGCCATCCTCAGCCTCATCATCCAATCACAAGTTATAAATCAACCATGCACCAATCACAATCGGCTCCCTCATGATGGTTTCCTTTCCAAACTTTTTATTCGAGCAGTACCCTTTTCCTCACTCCTATTCCCCTCTGAGCAGTGAAGAAAGACCCTATAGTATATTGCCTCTTTTATTTGACAATAACAAACTGTATATAAAAAGAAGGAAGGCAGGCAGGGAGGCCCTGCATCTCTCCCTCTCTGCTTCCCAAGTATCCCCCACCCCTAGGCCCCAGGAGGGATCACCCCTTCCTGCCTTGTAGGGGGTGGGGATTGACAGGCATGGGAACGCTGTGTGTGTGTGTGTGTGTGTGTGTGTGTGTGTGTGTGTGTGTGTGTGTGTGTGTGTGTGTG